TGAGGACAAGAAGCCAAGAGGTGGTTGGGAAAATGGCTGGGGAGGCAGCGCCCATTTCACCCCCCAGCCTCAGTTTACCACGTGGCCCTTCCTCGCAGGGGGAGTGGGACCTGCAGCCGCTGCCCGAGATCGTCTCGCAGCTGGAAGCGCCCGCCCCTCGGTGCCCGGCCAGCCAGGGTCTGAGCCCTGTCGGCCCCACTGTGGTCAACATCAGTGGCGGCCAAGGCTGAGGGGCGGGCCGCCTCCTCGCTCCCCCTCCGTGCTACCCCTGGGCACGTGCCAGCGCTGTGCACCCCCACTCTGTGAAGACCCCCCGCAACAGCTCAGTGTGCCCAGGATGAGGGACTGGACTGTGCCCCGGCCTGAGACCACAGCGCCCTCCCCCCGCATGGCCAGAGGCTCCTGGGCGCCCCGGGGACCCGCCAGGCCTGGGCGTCCGGACCAAGGCCCCTCCCAGCCTGTAAGGGTAGCCCAGCTGGCGGCCCAGAGCACAGAGCCCCGAAAGCCCTGCCCGTGTCTCCGGGAGCCACCAGCCCTCCCGGGGCAGGAGCCACGCCTGACGGTGGGCACTCGCCCCGTCCCCAGCACAGTCGTGCTCTGTGCCGGGTGCGAGTGCCACTCGGACGCGTCCCTGCAGAGTGGTGTTGCAGTGGGCGGCTTCCCTGCCCACGGAGGCAGGACAAGCCATTTCGTCACTTAGAGACTCGCCTGGGAAACGGCTCCATTCCAGGTGAAGGGACATTTCGCCCACCTAGAGGGAAACCCTCACCGCAGCTCCACCATGAAGACCAGACGGCCAGGATCCCGGCGAGGGTCTGGGCGGCTCCCTGGGGAAATGGAATGGCAGCCCCGGGTTCCTCCTCCTCCCATAGGAATCAGACCTGCCTGAGCCCCCTGGCCTTAGTGCAGGTGTGACGTGGGCGGACCATCTCACCTCCCTGCCCCTCAGTTTTCTCATCTGTGAAATGGGGCAATGCTGTGCCGATTGAGACAATAAAGCTCACACACAGGGTGGCCTGGCTCCCACCAGAGGCCCCGGCTGAGCTCCTTCCCATGCGGCCCTGTGCCCCATGGGGAGCTAGGACACGCCTCACTTCCCTGCCCACCTCCCCTTCCTCCCACTATAAGGCCAAGCTCAGCTCTCAGATTCTGCGGGAAGTAACAGATCAGACTGTTCAGCCAGATCAGCAAAATGCTCGCTGTCCAGCCTCCAGGGAGGGAGGGGTGATGGATGGGCCTTCGAGTCCCCACTTACTCCTGAGCAGACGCCAGCTCAGCGGCCTGCGAGCCACTCATCACACTCGGAGCGGTCTGCACTGCATCGTATAAATCACGCTTCCCGCGCCGAGTCACAGGGCGATCGTGGGAAATGCCAGAACCGACCCGCCAGCCGCAGAGCTGCCGCCCTCGCTCATCTTTATGGCCAGGGAGGACAGGTTGGGGGGAGGCCCTCCCTGGGGGCAGGCTTGCCAGGGCGGCCTGCAGCGGGCCCAGCCTCTGGCCCTGGTCTCCTGGCCCAAGGAGAAGACCCCTCGCCCCATTGTGCCCGCCTGCCCGAGCTCCCCCCTCACCCACCGAGCCCTGCTGGCCACCATCACTTTGTCCCCGAACACCCAAGCAGCACTGTGCTGTTCCAGTCTCACCAGAGAGGGAATCGGGGAGAAATGGCTCACCCAGGGTCCCCCGGAGGATTCATGGTGATTGGAAATCACACCCAGTTCTGGAACCTTCCTCCACCCACAGTGACACCACCACCCCCTCTGCTGGCTCTGGAGCTCTCCAGCTGGGCATTCTCCCCACCGAGGGGTGCCTGTTGGGCGACTCCCACACCAACCACTGCCTGTGCCCTGTGCACCCAGCCCCTGGCTCCCGCATCGCCCGCCTGCCTGTCCCCCCGTGTGCCGACAGCTGCCCCTGCGCCTGGTCCTGTGGTCACACTCAGCCCACACACGAGCCGTTCCTGCTCCACAGACGGGGAGGCCGAGGCCGCAGCGGGAGCCCAGGCGCTGCCCGGGTCTGACCCGTCTGGGCCCTTGGCCTCTGCCTCCTCACTCTTGAAGCAGGCGCCGTGCCCGGCCTTGTGAACACTAAGCGAGGACGCCGGGGGCCGCTTCATTACCCGACAGCAACCTGCCAGGGCCAGGCCTCCTGGCCAAGCCCCTCGCACTCTGCCCACCTTCTGACAGTCCGGGTGGTGGCCAGAGCGCAGTGAGGGCCCCATTCCTCCCTCTGCTCTGAGCCCCTGGACAAGTTGCTTTCCCTCCTGGACCGCGACCTCCTGTGGCAGGATGAGGCAGGTGAGCGTGGGAGGCGGCCCAGGATGGCCTCGGCACGTGACCCCCGGCGCTCTCCACGTGGTCAGGGCTGTTTCTCCTCGGAGAACAGCAAACACACAAATGGGCAAAACAGGAGTTTCTGTTTCTGAGCTCAGCTCCGAGGAAGGAGTCAGACTAGAACCCAAGTCCGACGTCCTGGTCCTCAGCACCCCCCAAGGCAGGCTGTGGAGGGACACCGCGCGGCCTGCCCAGGGCCTGCAGGGACCGGCGAGGCAGGCCAGGCTGTCTGGCCTCCCAGGCCTGTGCCGGAGCCAGGCCCCGGGTGAGCAGGCCAGGCTCTGTGGTGCTTCGCCGAGGCCCCTGTACCCCGCCTGTGGGCTGGCAACGGGGCCAACCAGCTGTCCACAGGCCGCTGGACCCAAACGTCCTCCCTGGCGACGGCTTTACTAGCCGGGCCCGTCCCAGCTCAGCCTGAAGCCGTGTGAGCCCCGAGAGGCCAGGCTGCACCCCAACCACCACCGTGCCCCGGGGGCTCTTCTGTGGCCCTTGTCCTCTCTGTCCCTAAGTATGTCCCCCTGCTTCCCGGAGAGCCAGGGCAGGATTCGTGGTGATTGGAAGTCACACCCGTGCAGGGCAGCTTTGTTGAGGCTGTCTGGCCCCTGGGTGCCCAATGGGCAATGAAGTCGGTGGGGGAGCGAGTGGAGGGGCTGGGACCTGGGCATGTGGGTGGGGCAGCCAGGCACCCATCCGGGCAGGGAAGCAGGGCCTCACGGCAGATGCCCAGAGAAGAGCCTAGGCCAGGCCCTTCCCCCAGGGTCCAGAGAAGAGAGACAAGGACACAGCAAGGACAAAGGCCACTCAGGCAGGAAGGTGCTGTCAGGTTCTTACTGAGACATGATCATCAAGGAGCTCCTGGGGAAACTGAGGCAGATGGCCTGTCTGTATGGGCGAGGACTTCACACTGGGACTCTCAGAAGACTTCCTGTGTGAAAACCTGGGACATCGAGGCAGGAAGACCTTGCCACCGTCCTGTGATCAGGGACAGGCCCTGTGCCCAGCGGCCTGAATCAGAGGGCCAGAGCCGCCTGGCACGTGCCCAAGGCAGACATTACTAATCAATCCTGCTCTGTTCCCGACTGG